TGCTAGGTCGGCAGGAGCTGGGACAAGCGACGGGAGCTCACTCCGTCGCGTGGATTCAATCTTACGACTGCTTGGTCTTCTGACCTTGCAGCACAGAGGCTTCTGCGGTTTAACCCGCTATGCTGCCACATCCCAAAAGCTTTCAGTAGTTTTGTAATAACTTATTCTACACTTAACTCTACGTTCCATACTCTTAACTGCTTTTCAACTTTTGACCAAAAAATTTTGCCTTTCCTCTCTGCTTCACCCCTCTCTTTATGTTCCATTGGCTCCTCCTCCCAACAATTCTTATTGGTGCATGCTGATACACTCATACATATACATAGACAGGGTGACTGGTGACTCTACACATAGAAATCACCAGATGGCCAATACCGAAATCAGATTGATTATATTCTCTGCAGCCAAAGATGGAGAAGCTCTATAGAGTCAGCAAAAACAAGACCTGGAGCTGATTGTGGCTCTGATCATCAGCTTCTCATAGCAAAATTCAAACTCAAACTGAAGAGAGTAGGACAAACCACTGGGCTAGGCAGGTATAATCTAAACCAAATCCCTTATGAATACACAGTGGAAGTGAAGAACAAATTTAAGGCACTGTGTTTGGTGGACAGAGTGCCTGAAGAACTATGGATGGAGGCTCGTAACATTGTACAGGAGGCAGCAACGAAAACCATCCCAAAGAAAAGGAAATGCAAGAAAGCAAAGTGACTGTCCAATGAGGCCTTACAAGTAGCAGAAAAGGGAAGGGAAACAAAATGCAGAGGAGATAGGGAAAGTTACAGAAAATAGAATGCAGACTTCCAAAGAATAGCAAGGAGAGACAAGAGGTCCTTCTTAAATGAACAGTGCAAAGAAATAGAGGAAAATAACAGAAAGGGAAAAACCAAAGATCTGTTCAGGAAAATTGGAGATATTAAAGGAACATTTTGTGCAAAAATGGACATGATAAAGGACAAAAATGGGAGGGATCTAACAGAAGCAGAAGATATCAAGAAGAGGTGGCAAGAATACACAGAGGAATTATACCAGAAAGATTTGGATGTCCCGGACAACCCAGAGAGTGTGGCTGCTGACCTTGAGCCAGGCATCCTGGAGAGTGAAGTCAAGTGGGCTTTAGAAAGCATGGCTAACAACAAGGCCAGCGGAGGTGATGGCATTCCAGTTGAACTATTTAAAATCTTAAAAGATGACTCTGTTAAGGTGCTACACTCAATATGCCAGCAAGTTTGAAAAACTCAGCAGTAGCCAGAGGATTGGAAAAGATTTGTCTACATCCCAGTCTCAAAGAAGGGCAGTGCCAAAGAATGCTCCAACTACTGTACAATTGCACTCAGCAGTATGTGGACAGAGAGCTCCCAGAAGTACAAGCTGGATTTCGAAGGGGCAGAGGAACTAGAGACCCAATTGCGAATATGCGCTGGATTATGGAGAAAGCCAGAGAGTTCCAGAAAAACATCTACTTCTGCTTCATTGACTATGCAAAACCCTTTGACTGTGTGGACCACAGCAAACAATGGCAAGTCCTCAAAGAAATTGAGTGCCTGACCACCTTATATATCTCCTGAGGAATCTATATGTGGGACAGGAAGCAACAGTTAGAACTGGATATGGAATAACTGGATATGGAACAACTGATTGGTTCAAAATTCAGAAAGGAGTACAACAAGGCTGTATATTGTTCCCCAGCTTATTTAACTTATATGCAGAATACATCATGTGAAAGGCCAAACAGGATGAATCCAAGCTGGAATTAAGATTGCTGGAAGAAATATCAACAACCTCCAATATGCAGATGATTCCACTCTGATGGCAGAAGGTGAGGAGGAATTAAAGAACCTCTTAATGAGGGTGAAAGAGGAGAGTGCAAAAAACGGTCTGAAGCTGAACATAAAAAAACCCAACTAAGATCATGGCCACTGGTCCCATCATCTCCTGGCAAATAGAAGGGGAATATATGGAGGCAGTGACAGATTTTACTTTCTTGGGCTCCATGATCACTGCAGATGGTGACAGCAGCCACGAAATTAAAAGACGCCTGCTTCTGGGGAGGAAAGCGATGACAAACCTAGACAGCATCTTAAAAAGCAGAGACCTCGCCTTGCCAACAAAAGTCCGCATAGTCAAATCTATGGCTTTTCCTGTAGTGATGTACGGAAGTGAGAGCTGGACCATAAAGAAAGCTGACTGCCGAAGAATTGATGCTTTTGAATTGTGATGCTGGAGGAGGCTCTTGAGAATCCCCTGG